GCAGTGACAACTATAACGCAGACGTGGAGTGAGGGAGCGTGCCTTGCTCTGCGGGTCGATTCTCTATATTGTTGGAAGTGATTGAAAGATCTTATTCAGGAAGTGATTAAGAATGGGAAGCTCAAAAACGGTTACAGAAAATTGAAATGTCAGCCAGCGAAGGCCAGCATGGAAATGGGCGGAGTAAGTTGCTTAAAGATAGGGACAATGGATGTACTTCGCAAAAAGGTTGCACGCCTTCACCCAATTGTCTTGGATTTTAATACGATAAATGTAAAGTGATTCAATAATATGGACAAGCCTAATAGAATTTTCCTCAGAAACGCTATGTTTTATTATCATGTACACTAATACCGCAACAATTTTTGATCTGTTCGCACATTGTTTGGTGTTTATGTTCTTTGAATCAGTTTAGATTTGTATGCCTGTGTGATAAGCTGTTCAGCGACGAAAATTGACAACCTCTTAAAAAATCCAAAAAAGATGAGGGAATCGGCGCATACACGAAGGTAAGCAAGCCAGGCCCTTTTGCGTTTCGGCTGGCACCGTACTGCGAAATGTTGGGGCGGGATGGTCACCCAACAGATCGACGGTTTACCTTCAACTCGCGTGGCACGATGGAGAACTACTGACGCATGTGCGTTGCAGCGGGTCAGCAGCGCTCCAGAGGCTGCTAGTTGCTACTCCAGGACTTGAGCCTTGAGAGGCGACTGACCGTCCTATCTTTAAGGCCTTGTGTCTAGAAGGTGAGACAATCGTGGTGGGTCTGGACCGAGTGAAGTGTCCGTGCCACCGTCGGACTCCATCCCCTCCCCAACATTCAAGCATACCGGTCCAGCCCGAAGGGACCAAAAGGCGCTGGTTGGTTACGTCGCATACACTGCTAACTTATCGTTGTCAATGAGCTTGTTCTTGCGATTCCATGATATATTCAATGTCTCGAGCTGCAAAAAAAATTGGGCCAGACTTCAAGCGATTGGTGCTTGAGCCGACAGTTGTTGTGGAAAACCAAATCTGCAAAAGGAGCGACCGGGCACTTTGGAAGCCTCAATGGGGAATATTGTGGAACAGTCGTGGGTAAGTAAGTAAAGGACGTCACAAATGATTTCTCCCAGGGAAGGTAGGATAGGCTGCATTGTCGGTTTGGCGAGTTTCGCGAACTGGGACCTTCCTATTTCGCAGGCTAAAATTTTAAAAACGCTAAAAGCGAGTCGTGGAAACGAAACATAGGTTTTTGTCACGAACAGATCGTTCTTTTTCAAAGGACTTTCATAACTTGGTTAAGCAATTATTCTTAAGAAGAAAATATCAAATTCGAATAAAAACGACACTATTATGGGACAACCTAAGATATATATGTCACTAGCAATGTACAAAATTTCACGCACGAAGATTCACTATCTCAAGAGAAACAGTCTTACGAAATGCAAGCTCTAGATGGTTGAGGGAAGGTCCGATGGGCACAAGGAAACGTCTGGAAAGAAGAGCACCTTGAGGGGGCCACATATCAGGCGAAGCATTGATGAATCGTGATAGAGCCTTCGAATTTGGAGGATAGAGACAAGAGAATCGATAGAATACGATGCAGTAGAAAAAAGAAACGTTAGTGTAATAGGCGGAGTGCCCCAGAAGCTTCTAATGAAGGACTTCGAGAACAGTTCAAAGTTCTCCCACCGCCAAAATTCGCGGGATGTGCGGCGGGAATTTGAACGGGGTCCTTCGGTTTCCGAATTGTTTACGGAATGAAACACAATCATTGCTTTTCTCGTTCATATCATGAATGATGGGTCAGGCCGATGAACGTGAGATAAACATGATGGGATTCCGTGGAGGATTCCTTTAAGTCAAACCTAGCCATGTAAACTAGGGTCAATATGATTTGAGAAGAATAGAAATGATAAGAACGCAGCTAAAATAGCCGATCCAGCGCACACAAGTTGCGCTGCTCCACGAGAACTTAAGGAAAACCAGTGTACGCCATGTACTTGAGGGTGAGGTTTTTCAGCCACTAGGACTAAACGCTTCCCCTCCATAAATCCAGTCAGGGTATATCGTCGACCGCGCAAATGGTTGAACATCAGTTTTCCACTCGCTTTGCAGTTATCAAGATCACGTCGAGAAGCGCAGGGATGGCCGAGTGGTTAAGAGGTCACACACATGCCTGTACCTCTGAAAAACCGCGAGTTCGATCCTGCCGAGGCTCAAAACCATGCCCTGCAGAAGTTACAAAAATGGTTCTAGTACCAGCGTATCAAGATCACGTGGAGAGGGGTAACTATGACATTACGAATGATGAAACTCTCTGAATTGTGGAAAGCTTGCAAAATATCTCATGAATTCCTAGAAATCCTTTTCCACTCGATTGCGAAAATGCAATGCCATTCTCATTCAAAACAGCCCCCTTCAAAATTAAAATGTGAAGAGTTCACGATACCCCTTATACACATGCCTCTGTAACAATGCCATCAATTCAATAGCACAAGTAAAATTCATCATTTCGTTGAAAAACAAGTGACAAATGTGACGGAAGAGTTCAGGAAAGAGCCAACTGGAACACTTCTATGCTGTAAACACAATTGTGGTCGGCAACGCCCAAGATGAAAAACCCTTACTCCTCGAGATCTATTTCCCACATCTCAAATCTGAATAAATCGCGGTAATGCGAGTCTTTAGAACTTGTCGAATTTCTCCTGCCGAAAGGCGGCTGCTTATGTTGCTTCAGCCACATGTATCCCCGTCCTCTCACCCCCTCTCCCTCCCACGCCCCTGCCTCACATGACGGCAGTGCTGGAGGAATTCGAGGTCTGAGTTTGAGAGTTTGAATTGTGTCATATAGTATCAGGATAAACGCGACTATTGTAGACCTCGTCAGGGGTTGCGCTGATCATGGTAGAGATGCACTATAGGACCGTAGTGCTGATGTCATTTCTTGCGCGCCATGTCAACCCTGCCACGTACTCTGGCTCTCCCGTTAATTGCCGTTAAAACTTCTGCGCATTAAAAAGATTGCTAAGAAGGGTTCTTGAATCTAATGGAAAAAAAATCGCAAAACCACCAGTCCATCAAATTCCTGCCAATGATTCTAGGAGTAGAGAAGCATTCGATGCTACCTGTGTTGCCACGCCACTAGCAAATTGAAAGCCTGTTCCTTAACACGTTGACGACCGCGCTCGTTTTCTCTGTCTGGCGTGTGGGACCGCGCGCATCATTTTGACCGCGCGAATGTGACATGACATCATACCACACGGTCCCACGAGAATACTTTTTTGGGGAACTGTTTGTTTGTTATCTTTCTTGTGTGGTCTTCTAGGATTTTGCTATTTTGGTTATTTCAGCTATTCTTGCGATTTGAGAGTGCGTAGAAACGGCCAAAGCTAACGTGCAGTTAGACCACAATTGGACCTACATGCCGAAAACCACTCACTGAGTTGAAGGTTCGTAGGAAATGAGAAACGGAGGCAAAGGAAAACGCTCACAGACAACGCAGAAGCGGCTACAACTGTGCAGGATCAAATAACGCGTGCGCATATGTGCGTCTCCAACTGAAAGTGTCCTCACCTACTGTAGCAAGTTTTTATCGCGAACGATTTTTTGTACCATCAGTTTCAGCTTGAACACAAAACGTTTGACTACTGTTCATTATTCAATTCAAACATTTTTTGAAAACTCGATAGGCCATTAACCGAAGCATCTATCCAGGGACCACGGCTTTTGAAACAATGGCTAAGCATGGCGTATACATCACATAAATAAGTTACCTTAAATGTTCGAAAACCAGCTTTGAATGATTGTGACAAGACATCATGTCACACGGTCCCACGCGGCAGAGAGAGCGTGGTATGACATCATACCACACGGTCGTCAACGTGTTAAAACACGAATTTTTTGGCCACGCAGAGTTTCGCTACGTTCCCTCCCGCTCCTCGTTGGGAAGAGCAAATTTTCAATGAGATTTTCTACTACAAAGGTCGAATCCGAAGCATAAATCACATCTACGCACAGAGTCCATAAAACTAGCCGTGTACAAATGGCAGACATCATGTTTCCAAGGGCGATAACGTTTTGCTTACCTCTCTCTTAGACTACGTCATAATAAGAACACTTGAACATGTTTATTCTCCTCCCTTAGGTCTTTTCCGACCTATGGATAAATAAAAAGGATGAAGCATTTGCCGTTGATCAATCCCGTTTTGGGATGCGACACGCATTCTACTTCCATTTGTACATTCGCAGTGGCATTTGAATGCGATGTGGCCTATACAATGACTTGCGGGGGCCAGCCGATGTTCAAGTCAGTGTTTTTTTATCCTCCCAGACAAGTCTGGTACCAATTATCGACCCCGGAGGGATGGAATGCTTGGTTTGCCCGGGCGACTCACGACCCAGGAATTGATCCCGGACCGCTCGCGTGGTGAGCGCGCCACTTGTCACTGCACCACTTCCGCCCTTTAGCTATGGATATAGCCTTATAATTGCAATCTTCGCCTTTCACCGAGGTAGAATTCATTACCCCTCTAAAAAGGATGCCAAACACCTCTGCGTTCACGTGGGAATTTGAGAATGCTGACTTAGTTGCCTTATGGGCCTTAAAAATTTTTGGCACTTCTAGACCAGGACAGCTTTCTGTGTATGATATTACTTCATTTGTGTTTTATATCGTTTTGCTATTTCATTTAGTACTGTTGAATTTTCTTTTTCTTGCAAGGAACATTTGTCTAAATTTTATGGACGCGCGATGATAAAGAACGATAGCGAAATTCATTAATAAATTTCCCATAGTAACCACGAGGTTGAAAACTAGTTTCAAAAGGTGTACTATTGTTTGCATAAAATACCGTCCGTCTTTTTACAGGGTAGAATACAGCCCCTTTAGCCCGCAATGATTCAACCAGGCAGTGTTTTACAAAACGTGACGAATTCATTGTAATCACCTCGTGGTGCTAAATACACCTTGAACGGTGATCAAAATAATAACGATAGCTTATCGACACTCAAGTTACCTGAGTTCCTCCCACTCGCCCTACGAACGAGGAACATCCGCCTCCATCGAAGAACTCTAAGCGATCCACACTTGGACCACCTTCATCGAACCGAACACATGTATGATACTGCCAAAGGTTCATAGCCTCCCTGTCAAATTGCAAAGCAGTAATGTGCACTTTATATTCAAATCGAACAGTAATAGCGAGGCGACCGCGTACCGGATCTTCTCACGAGTTCGGCGTGGAACCGTCTCAGTGAAATCAAAACTTATAGCACTTCTACGATCCCACAGTGTGTAGAGTGGAGTACGACCGATCTGAACTCCTATTTGCATAATGTATTTTAATTACATGAGGCAGCAGTAAGTAGTGATTAGAGTAACAGCGTCGAACCTTTCGCTTCTCTCGGTGCCCTTCAGTAAATGATTTCTCGATTTGCAGAACCTGTTGTTCTGAAAGATCGACGTCGCCTTGAAAATAGTCTTCCGGATTATTCACGGACAGCTCGTCCTGGAAAGATCAAAATCCGCCTTCAATTGGCCTAAGTATTTGCCAGTGATTGAAGCAAACCCTTATGAGACGAGTCTTCATAAAATCTACCTTGTTGCTTTTCGCACTCGGGTTTCGTTTGATATCCACGAACAAATCGACTGCATCGCTTTGCCGAGCACTAACCAATCTAAATTCAATGAACTTTCTCCGAGAAGAACGTAATCCGAACCGTCTACTGCCATAAATTGGGTCATGCCTTGCCGGCTAAGAAACCTGCCCGAAGCCGAACATAATTGATTGGACCTATGTGGAACAAGAAACCCACCACTGCAAATCGTTCAGAGGATTTGGAAAGACAGACCTCCAAACGAATGATACTTGGAGATCATACCTACACTTTTCATCTCTTGATGTCTGCCCGTTTTGGAAACTATTTAAAGACAGTTAAGCGCTTAATACTTCAGGTGCTTTTTACTTGAAGGAATTGAAGCCGTAGAACTACTGATCAGATAGATCTCGCAACGAGCCGCTCCAAAATCAGGGAAGAATGATAATTCCATTAACACAGGAAGCCTCGATAAGCACGGCCGGCCTATTTTTCTTGAGATCGAACAAATCCACGAAAATCAGCAAGACGAAAAGATCGAGAATTCTCACCTGGCAGCATCTTCATTGAGCACCTCCTTGAGATGTGCAAGCGATTTTCGATTAGCTCGTTGTGCTCGTAATGCAAAAGTCAGTGGAAGCAGAAGCAATGCGAGTGAAAAGAGCTGGGATAAATAGGGAAGACTGGCGATATGCATTGATAATGGCCTGTACGTTGGCTACAAACCAGCCCCCGCCGGCGGCTGTATGAGTCAGACCAAGTCGCTACGATATTCGCAATCGTAGAGGGAAGCTTGACATTGAGGAAACCATCACACGCATCCAGAGACACGCACGTAAGACGAGATGCACAGCCCTTAGTACACCACACCTTAACTCGTTCACCTTTTCGCTTTTTACGACCCTTAATCGGCATGACGCATCGCAATGACTGTTCTCTCATCGCAGTTCAGGATTTCGTCGGGTTGTCGTATTAGGAATGCTTACGACGCTGTCGTGCGTGTTGTCTGAAACCTTCACTGAAGCCGCTTTAAGTAAGCAGTATGCTACTAGCACCGAGAATGAATTACTTGTTTTGGCACTATTCAACTATTACAACCTCAAAATCTCAAAATTTTAATTTTCGCCGAAACTTCGTCCTTAAGGGTTATTTGCTGACCTGATCACGAAAATGGCATTAATTTTTGGCGTTGGCGCCATCTGGCGCCACTTTGGCGCCTGTGCTACTTTTACCAAATTCGCTGTAAACTTGTATACAGAGGTTATATGAGGTCCAGATTACGAAAATAACATTCATTTTGGCGCTGGCCCCTTTGGGCGACTAAGCCTTTGGGGAGAAGAGTGCTCCGAAGTGAGTGAATCACCCATCCTGTGATCTTATACGCTTCACCTTTTGCACACATTGCCTGGTTCGCCCACCCAGGAGTCCTCCTCCTCCTAAACTTAGTCTGAGGTAACATGTACAGGTAAGAGGGCCCGGAAGACGGAAAATAGTCTGAGGTAACCTGGTACATGTAAGAGGGCCCAGGAAGACGGAAAATCTGCGTTAAATAGTGCAAAGGCTAGAAACCAATGTTGTATTCGTAATCAGGACCCCAAATAACCCCTGTATGCAAGTTTAGAGCGAATTTGGTGAAAATAGCCCTGGCGCCAATTGGCGCCAGATGGCGCCAACACCAGAAATGCATGTCATTTTCGTGATCAGGGCATCAAATAACCCCTATGTAGTGCCCTTGTTTTTGATCTCAACATTCTTGAGACAAAGAACCGAACATTATCTGATGGTATACCGCTTATATGGTCTGACTTTGGATCAGCTCCAAGATTTGTGTCCCTGAATGTTACCTCAACCTCCGCTGACTACGGACACAAGTGAGACAAACTATCCCCCACCAAGTCCAATTCTCGATCAAAGGCCGATTATACCGATAAAGGCATGGGGTTCGCGCTCACCGCACAACAGCAGCGTTGATTTTATCTTGGAAAATGACTGCACCAACTCCATTAGGGACAAAGATCTACAAGTAACTCTTGGCGTCTTTTGAAGCGTGGTTGCTCGTATTGACGCATGCGGTATCGTCGTTTTAGAGGATTCAGAACTTTTTGTCCAACTGTTGAAAGTTTCGGATATTTGTCATCTAATAGGTACAATACTATAGAGGGTGATTCGGACTAGATGCAGAAGTAATGGAGGCAGCATGAACTGGTCGAATGATGCGAACCTAAATCTGTGATCGGGAACGTGGAGAGAGCTTTTAAAGTTCAATACTAGGATCTACGAAGAAAATCTTGTTCTCCGCGAAACATAAAAGAATTGGGATGGGAAAAATTCTACCTCTCATCCACTTACCCTTGGTTTTATTGCTCATGTGCCGAATGTCCGAATATAACACGTGCAAACAGGAATTCAACCGGTGGAAGTCGGAATTTTTAAATGCTTATAGACACCTGTCTCAAAAGCGCGTATACGTAAGTCTACTTGCAAAAACTCCGAAACCAGCTCCCAACTAACTAAAGCGACTGCAATCGTGGACACTCGACGCAGACGAGTCTACAGTTTGGCCTTAATGGTCAACCAGTTTCAAATCCTACCGAAGCAAAACTTTCAACTTTTATTTTGCTCGTTTTAAGTAAAAGCCATGATTAATGAAACAATTCAGTACACATTCAGTATCATATGAGATTTATTGAATAAAAGAAAAACAAACTGGAGTTCCTCTTCGTTCAAATCAATCCCTAGCCGAGGAACTCTCAATACAGTTAGCCACCGTGACGGACTATGCAAAATTATTATTTCAAAAATACGAGACAGATAAGTAATAACTTTGTAAGGAACACTCAATACTCGAACTATCAAATTATGGTCAATATGGCGAGAATGAATGAAGTGTACGGACGTACGAAACTAATAATCATCATAATCATCAGAAAACACAAGAGAAAGCTCTCAATAATATTTTTTTGTTCGACGAATTGTACAAGCACGATTCCATGCCTCATCTCTCAGCTCTTGCTCGCGGCTCTGCTCTGTCCGGCTCTGCTTATATACTATTTATATAGATACTATACTCTTTGTATACTAACATTATTTTTTATTATAGAACTCTGTAATATATGAGCGCGCAGCGCATTTTTGTAATTTTTTAATGCAAAAAATGCTACTCAGATACCAGCCGAGCAGCTGCACTGCACTCCTGCCGCATGGAATCGTGCCGATGATAGAACTCCATATGCGACTGTACTCTCGCATTCCGAGGAAACTCCTGTGGAGAATCGATTTGAGTTGAAAACCTAACTAAAACTATGAGGCCACCCGTGCCGGGCGATGGATCTGAGCAAGGAAATGGAAGACGGGCTGACACAACATACACATCACATCATCACATCATCATCACATATAGTGCTCTGAAATTTTTGTCGAGACATACATACATACATGCCATTCATGCAATTTTCTGACATTTTCCTCTAACATTTGTACGTCTCCATAATGAGTTCGTTAATTATCGCGACCGTCTTCGCCGAGCTCTTGCCTTGTACAAACGTGTCGTGATCGCCTTCCACTACGAACACTTTCGAATCATCCGACACCTGACTAATACCGTAGTCGGTACCGACGTCCTCTTCACGAGCCGCTCCCTGTTCAGCACGCACCAATGTGATGTGTCCAGCGAATTTGCGTTCAGGTTTATATCTGAAAAGACGATCTCCGTGTCCTATCGTGTCACTTACTATACACTTCAAATCTACAGTAAAAATCTGTTCACACTCTAGCCGTGACTCACTTGTCCGCCATCAAAAACTTCGATCGCATCGCTTCACAGGCGAATGCGATTGTTTCTGGCGATTTGAAGAGGCCTGTGGTCATAACAGTGTCCACTACCTGAAATACAACTAATAAACTAGTCATCAACAAATCCTCGCCAAAACAGCCTCGTGAAGACTAATGCTACAGAGGCAGCTCTAGTACTAAAGAAAGTGGACGCTTGTTTTTCTGCAGTACTCCAGGCAGGATCAACCGTCCGTTCGAACAGTTCGAACGAAGGGGTCCCATTTTCGAGGACTGCCAGCCGCAGGCGCGTGCGTGGCGTATCCGAGGGCAAGAATTGTTTGCGCAGACCGCATTAGATTCGATTAATTATGCGCAGAGAGACAGTTTTAGGCAAATTACGGTGTTTTCCTCGAGGAATAAAGAACAGTTGAATGCATCCCTGTAGAAGGTTTGATTTCTCGGGGCTGAAATTAAAGTTCTTCGGGACCTAATTTTCTGAGGACAATTCTTCAGGACAACGGTAAGACACATAACAAAGCAGAAATCTCGTAGTCTTCAAAAATGTCTTCGCCCCTCCCCAACAAGTTTTTGAAGGAAGTTATTATTGCTGAAAGCTCAAAAACTCGCATGTGCTGCTCAAAAACCTATGGGAACAAAATGTTCGAACGTGTGATTTTCTCGGAAAATGGATTTTGAAAAACGGTTTGGTGCTCATTAGAAAGACCAAATCCTGCGCTTTCACCCCATGAAAAAAGTGCATCACAGAAATGAAAATGTAGTGAGTTATTGCCGCTGAAAGCCCAAAAACTCGTTCTTGCACGAAAAATGTTCGGAGGGGACAATTTTTCGAAAAGGGAGACAATCACTAAACTTTTTATATTACTTTGTTAGAGAAATATTTGAAGTTTCTGAAACTTTTTACAGATTTCCAAAATGTCGCATTCTAAGGATTTCATGGGCCTTCAAAGTTGAAGGTGCGCCCTCTTAGAATCTTGAGTTTTCCACTTCTAACAGAAGCCCTTTGCGGGGAGTTAGGCAATCCTTGTAGTTTTCTGGAAGCGCACCTCAGGCACAATCAAAATCTACCTCAACAAGTCAAAAAATACGTCCCAAGAAAGTTATTCCCCTCTGAAATTTTTTCTTCGCCGCGTCCCGTTCTTCCAGCGCCCGGGTGATACCTGCCGCGCTCCAAGGCCGACGCGACGACGCGCAGATGCTTTTCGGCGCAACAGATTCATGTCTAGCACTCTTATTAACAAAAACAGGGCCCTCGAGAGCAAGGGGGTCGTAAATTCCCGAAAATGTTCGAACGTGACGGTTAACCCTGACTCCAGGTCCGTTTTTTCGAATAGGAAACAAGTGCAGACCGAAAGTTGACTGAGATGCAGCTGGGCAAGTGGTATTAAGCAGGTTAGCATTTATGTTACAAATTTCGAAACGGTTCCAGGCCTTGAAGGACGGCTAGCTTGTTGGAACATGATGCATTAAGCATACTACATTGGAAAAAAAATCCTGCCGAGCACAAAAGCAGTGAAAACTTCTCGGAGGTTGTAGGGGAAAATTACGGCCACTTTTGGATGGTTTTGGTGATCCGTGGAGCGCTATCATATTTCCAACTTTGACCAATCAAAACGGTGTACACAAAATAGCGCACACTCTTGCTCAGTTCAACTGAATCTCAGTCGAACTCACCCGACCTTCAACTCACCTTTTGTATCCGAGCCTTGAATCCCGGTTGTTGGAGCAGCTCAACTCGGAACTTTTTGTAGTCAACGTTAGCAAATCGCAGCGTCATTGCGCACATGATCTCTGATTCGAACAGTGGATTGTTCACAAGAGTATCTCCAGTGACACCAAATGCCATTCGGTAGACATTCCTATACGTTTGCATGTACAAGTGAGATCCATCAAGCAATATCAGCCTCT